ACACACACACCCACACACACACACACACAAACACACACACAAAAACACACACACACACACACCACACACACACACACACACACACACACACACACACTGTATTATTGTATGAGAGAGGTTCCAGGTTGAATTGAGGCGAATATTTGTAATGTTCAGAGGTTGTTGTGTTTAATATTCATCAGACTATTTGTCATTGTTCAAATGATAATAAACAAACATATAAAGCATATTTGTCCACTCATATGTTGATAAGAGTATTAAAAACTTGAAAAATATCCCTCTAAGGTACATTTAGAACAGATAAAAAATGTGCGATTAATTTGCGATTAATCGCGATTAACTATGGACAATCATGCGATTAATCGCGATTAAATATTTTAATCGACTGACAGCCCTAGTATACACATTCATATCTGATTTGTAAAACATCACAGACAGAAAGGTATATCCGTCATTTAATGGTAAGCTATTGAAATTGTGATTCCATAGATGTGTCTCCCATCACCCAAAACCCCTGACTATTCTCTCAACTCAGTATTTACATTCTTATATTCAAAGAAAATCAGTAATATCTTTAAAAACGACAAGTCCCTTTCTATCAGCTGTGCACCGTTATGGTGTAAAACAGCCTATTTACCAAATGGATCAAATGTAAAAGTCAGCCGAATTAATGTTAATATTGATACTGCAAGGAGACGTATTGTGTGAAAATAAATGGAACATGTTGTTTAATTGCTGATATATTTATGATCCACGTCACGTATTCAGTTTTGGCGGCAGTTCTTCCAGTTTGTCCAGAAGTCTTCTAATCAGGGCTCTATAAATAAAGAACTACGGCAGATGTGTAATATTTAATGCAGCCGAACCGTGTATTACAATGCCGTTATGTGATGACTTCCAAAGAGAAAAGCAAGCACCCTCGGAATAAAGTATTATTATTTTTTTTTTTAAATGTTTTCGGATTTCATATCGCATAAACACCATATCCCAACGTGCATTGTGGCTAAAACATCCAATCACCAAGTTTGAATGGTAGCTGAGGATTATGGGTAGGTAGATGTTTTAGCCTATAAAAACCTCTGAAAAAAGAAATGTGTCTCTCAGAATCGAAAGGGAAAAACCTATGGGAAAAACACAAAAGCATTGTACACAATTTAAACCAATTAATGTCGTGAAATTAACAAGGATAAACTGATGTTTTTGAGTGGATGAGTACTGCAGATATAGCTTTAAAATCATTTGACAGTGAGGGGAATACGGTTTTATTATGAAAACTTCGAGACTGGAAATACTGTTTTCACCCCGTGAGGGTTGACGCTAACTTTACATGGACGCTGCCGCATATACACGTTCTCCTGGCGAGCAGTGGCGACTGGTCATTAGGGGCAGGTGGGGCACAGCCCCACCTAGTGTCAGCAGAAAGTATTACACATAATGATTACAAAAAATGGAAAGAGATGCAAAAAAATAAATAAAAAAATATATAAAATATATTTTAAGGTCATGTTTAATCATCTGATTCGTCTGTGCATTGCTGTTTTAGTCTGTGTTCTTCTAATTAGTGTCTACAGTGCCGTTTTGAGCCATGTGGGACAAAACCTGATCATGCCCCACCCTTTCACTGTCAAAGTGAACGGTGACTGTAAAAACTACACTGCGCATGCTCAGAGTATTTTTCAATGTAATGTGTGTGGCAAAAAAAAAAAACACCATAGGGGCACAGAGCTGCCATCCCCACCATACGTCATCTCACATCATTCAGAGCTGATTGGCTGTAAGTACGTGTGCCGCGAAAAGTGTGGTGTGTGAAGAGCATGGATGTATAATAAGAGGAGACGAGAGCTGCAGTGACGCGTCCTAAAACCAGGAAGTAAGCTGCAAAAAAGCAATGAGGTTTCTCTATAGGATTTTAGAAAATAGCTTGAAATAAGATCTGTGGGAAACGTACCTGTTAGATAAATGCACGTTTTGTTCAGCCGGATAATATCCACATGTCTACCCTACTTTTATCATTTTCGAATCATAAATCTATCGATTAGATTTATGATAGACTTTTGAAACTACAAGATGATAAGGAGGACTTTTACAAAAAAGTAATAGAAATGTTTGTCCAGAAGGATAGGCAAATGGACTTCATCTTCAAGTCAAGGTAAGACTGCCATTTTTTGAAAATGGGATCTTACTTAGAGAGAACAATTCAATATTTAAATGATCAAATTACATTTTTTGGGTATCCTTTTGTTGAACTGTCTGTTTAAAATTAATCGAAGCATCAGACAAAAAAAGCTTTTGAAAATAATATTATATTTTGGTTTAGGTCAAAATATAATATTTGTAAACCTGAAGAGTCAGTGCCAGTGCCTCACCAGCCATGAACCTCACTGCACGTCACTGCAGAAGCTTATATATAGACATCTAAGTTTTTTGTGCCCCACCACTTTTGTACATATAAAAACGCCACTGCTGGCGAGACCTCAAATAATCTTCGTAATATCTATCAAACTATAGATCCTACACATCCACTGGACGTGGATTCTGAAAGTACAATATACACTTCTCGCTAGAAATCTAATCAAAAAGCATTTTAATGGCCAAACTATCCTACAATTTAGGATTTTCCAGAGAGAGTTATTTGTGAATATACGACCCTCCGTAGCGTTGACATTCAACAGGAACACTAGAGGTCGAAAACTTTAAAACGTGATTATAGGTCGTAATAAGCACTTGAACAATCGACCTATTTGGTCGTAATAAGGGCTTGAACAATCAACCTATTTGGTCGTATGAGTTGGAGGACTTGTTGTTTATTTGCTATTCGCCATACTTAAACATACTTAAAATGATTACCCATTTTAGTCTAGTGGGTAGAAGGGGGTATCATGCACCCCCCTGAAATATACTTCTAATCAGCTTTTCTAGATTGGAAAAATGGTGTAGAAAACGATTAGCTATGTTAAAAAGTTGGCAAATTGTCCCACGTATATTTTTTTCCCAAATTAGTGTTTATTTACCCTAAAAATCGAGTTTCACTCTTTTTACAACTTTCACTATATCTCAGCCATTATTGCAGATAACTGAACAAATAAGGTATCCAGATCCATGTTTTGAGGGTCAAGGAACACAATAAAACTATTCTTAAAGTGATCACATGTGTCTGTGGCATGCTATTATGCTAATTAGTGCCGCCATTACAAGAAAATAGCATTTTAGTCTTGTACCAAGAACGGTGTATTTTGCACCGACACAGAAATATACTTATAATCAGTGTTTCCTAAGTGGAAAAAGTATGTAGAAAATGATGAGCTATGTTAAAATGTTGTCTGGATGTCCCACATGTATTTTTTATGCAAATTAGTGTCACCATTACCAAAAACGGAATTTTCACATTTTTCACTCTATCTCAGCCAATATTGCAGATAAATGAACAAATAATGTGTCTAGACCCGTGTTTTGATGGTCAAAGATCACAATAAAACTATTCCCAAAGTGATCACATGTATCTGTGGCATGCTAGTATACAGCACTGGCAGTAGTGAAAATTCCCGCCTTTTTTCCTGCCAAAAACAAACAAGTAGCTGACTTGGCTACACACACACATTCAACCTTCAAACAAACAAGGTAAGTAGCTAACTCAACTAGACTCATGTGTTTTGTATGTTTTATATAGGTTTCTAGCTTAATTGTTGTTAACACATAATTTTGCAGCCCAAAGTAGGCTACACACTAGAACATGTGTTAGTGTTATTCTGCCCTGCAGAGGCTAACTGCAGTAAAATATGGTAAACTATTAGCTAGCTAATGTTAGCTAACTAACTAACAGTGACGTGAATGAGGGATAGCTAATGGTGTAGCTTGTTGAATAAAGCTATTAGCTAGGTAGTGCTAGGTAGCTAGCTAGCTGTACAGCTAGCTAGGCTTAATGAACTCCTAAGCTAGCTAATGTTAATTAAAAAAAAGGCAGTAATTGTAATGCAAAACTGCAGGGCAGTATTCTTAACCCGTTAAGCCCGATTGCCCCCGGTACCACAGCGTCCCAGGGCTTGTTACAATGTAACAACCTATTAACGTTGCATACCCACTTAACGGGAAGAAACTAAGCTAACAGATGATAATAACCATTTTAACCTAAACGAAACACAATTCCAACACCAAGCGTCTAAATCAGCACTTAACGAACACTAACGCTAACGCCACATTAGCACATGACTGGCGATTTTTCTACTTCATGCTATCTGCATAAATGACATATCATATGAAAGCTGAGATTCATCAGATTCCATTGGTATAAGTCTCATCACTGTACGACAAAACTCACTGAATTAGCAGCCAGGAAAGAGGGTTTCCATCATTAAGGGGTAGTTTTCACTATAAATAGTGAAATAGGTTATAGGTTTTTTTTAGGCGGAGATTAGAATATTTTTTTTTTACTATGTTTAATCTGAATTTACTCTGACACAGCAAGATCTATATTGATTCTGACACTTCTACAGCCAACTCACAGGTGTATCATTGCTTTGATAAAAAATATTATTCATATACCCCTTATAGTTGTGAAGATATAATCATTCATTCTGGGCATGTCATTTTTCGAGCCTGAGGCCTGGGCTTAACAGGTTAAACTGTGGAACATGATGGCTGCTCTCAGAACATCTGTTATAATTTTCAAAAGTTCTGATTGTATAACAGATTGTCTTTAGGCGCTTTCACACCGGATTAATTTTCCCACAATAGTTCCGATATAGTTCCGAAAAGTTGCGTTCACACCAAAAGAAAAAAGAACTATATTGGGATGCTCACACGCCGCAAAATGTGTGGTTCTGGATATGCAGAGATTCTGTTTGAGGCACAACTAGTGACAAGTGGATCCCTCAAGAAGAAGAAGAAGAAGACACACTTTATTAATCCCTTACAGGGACATTTCTTTCCCCACTCTGTTGTGTTAACACACATTACACACACAGGGGAGGATATACATGCACAAACAGAGGATATACATGCACACACATAACCACATGCAGATAGGAGAGGTGGCAGAGCAGAGAGGCTGCCAGGTACCCGGCGTCAAAGGTGTTTTAAGTGGAAAGGCATACGCAAAGTACCTCTTTTCTCTCAAAACTCTGTGCGAATCAATGGAGAGGCTGTTGATGGAGCGGTTCATTGAGGAGGAAAGCGTCCTTATCACTGACCCTGCTGCACTTCTCAACATGACCCAGTCTTGCAATCGAGAGCACCTCGATGAAGCCCTCAAAGACCGCTCAACTCTAACCCTCATCGAGAAGTATCACGCCTATGAGGAGAAGGTGCTCAAGGGTCACCTGGGAAAGACAGCTGCCTTATGGATGTCATTTATTAACCACTGTCATCTTGTCTTCATGCTACTCCACTCCGTTAAGACCAACAACATCCAGTTGTTTCACAAATGCAATGGAGAGATGGCAAATATCTTCTTTGCATTTGATGGACACAACTACTCAAGGTTTGTGCTATTTACATGACAATTTACCAAATTTGCATTATGAGACAAGCTTTGAAAATAAATGTTTCTATGTGTAATCTGTGCCTTTCCTTATCTGCAGATATCTGACTTGGCTGGAGGTCTATCTGACAAACCTGGAGAACACACACCCAGGGGCCAAAGACCTGCTTTCTAAGGGTGCAATTGCGGTGGCCCGCTCAATGATACCGGGGGCACTTAGTGCAGTCGACAAGACCATGGAGGAAACGTTCATGCGCTTTGCCAAATCATCAGGTACATTATGATTTTTACCCAGACATTGAACAGATATACAGACATTGTATCAAGATTATTATATTATATAATACAATTGTATACTGCTTTCACAAAACCACATTTTATTTGATGATTTCTGAATTAAAATGCATGTAACTTATTGTGTGGGAGCAGTAGATCACATATTTGTTTCATACTTTTAAGGTGGCTTCACTGGACTATACAGCCAGTTTGGGGCATACCAGAGATGGTGTCGAACAACCTCCACACGGGCACAGTTTTATCAAAAGACCCTTGAGATGGTGGACCTCATCAAAGACCCAGACTGCCCAAGGGCGGGGAAACATCGGGAGCTGGAGAAGGCAGAGGTCAAAAAGGGTGAGGAGGCCATTCAGCGAACCATCGAGACAATTAGGAACTTTAGGAACCCCTTCACCATCTCAGACAAGGACAGGCTCTACTCCCTGGCTTCTGGTGCTCCTGTCCTCATGGAGGTCGAGATGGACGTGCTACAAGCAGAAACTGTGGGCAAGGCTGCTAAAGCTGAGTTCATCAAACGGCTACAGAGCAGAGAGCCAGCTAGCTTCTCTGACCCAATCAAAAAGAAGAAGCTCAAGACCATGGAAGCTTGTAACAAAAAGGTCACCCTCACATCCTCACAGGGAAAGGTAATGAGATGTTCCAATACCTGAGGTCTACTATATTATTGCAATTAATTTAATAACCTTTATTTTTTATTGTTGTGACCCCATATTTGTTAATGATACACTATCAATATCATTCCAGGTCATCCAGTATCAGGAGCAAAGCAATCTTGCTTTCCTGCTCCTTGTCAAGTCACAACGTGCAGAGGACCCATTGGACTTGGAGGAACTCATGAAATATCCCCTAATGCCTGTGCCCCCTAGCCTTGGGACACCAGATGGGTTTTTCTCCAAGACTAATAAAGTGGCTCTTCTGCACTACATTCTGGAGGACACCACCCCAAAGGATCTGCCATACCCTAAGGATGCCCTGTTCATCCAGGATGGCATGGCTCTGCTCCATGTCCTCACCAACCTTCCCCCAACATGTGGGGAGATATGCCTACAAGTGCTTGATCAGATGGTGGCCAAAAAGCACTTTTTGTTCTCGACTGACAGTTACCATCCAGGATCTATCAAAGCACAGGAGAGGTTGAGACGTGGCAGTTCAGAGAAGATCCTTTTGGCTGGACCAGCAACCAGGAAGCCATATGACTTCAAGATGTTTCTCACAAATGATGACAACAAAAAGCAACTCTGCCAGCTCCTGCTGCGAGTATGGAGTGATCAACAGGCAGCTTCAAGGCTGGAGAGAACAGAAATGTCAGTGCTGATCGTGGAAGGGAGAGCCCATCAACTTCTATCCTCAAACGGCAAGGTAAATTGAAAGCCCATATTAAAAGTGATTGATGGTTAAATTATACTCTAAGTGATTATCTGTGATTTGTGTCTAGTCTCTGTCATTGTTGATCAAAGTGCAATATCCCATTGTGTATCAGGTTGAGGTACGTGAGCTCCCCACAACCTACAGCAACCAGGAAGAGACTGATACAAGGGTGGTACTCTACCTTCATCATGCTGCTGCCCTTGGGTACAAGAATGCTGTAGTCAGAACACCTGACACAGATATCTTTGTGATTCTTCTTTACCACGCTCATGCCATCAGGCTGACTATATACCTGGATACGGGGTCAGGGAAACATAGACAACTTCTCAACCTCTCTGAGCTCGCAGAATCCCTGGGAGAAGACTACTGTGCCACACTTCTTGGATTCCATGTGTTCAGCGGAGAAGACTGCACCAGTGCCTTCAAAGGGAAGGGGAAGGTGGGGCCCTTGAAAAAGCTGGAGAAGAACCCGAAGTTTCACAGGGCGTTCAGTCAACTCGGTGACAACTGGAATGTCAAGCCTGAGGTGCTGAAGCAGTTGGAGCAATTCACCTGTCTGATATATGGAGAGAGTCGTGAGTCTTCAGTGGACGTAGTCCGTGCCAAGTTGCTGCGCAAAATGGTAGGGCAGGACGATAAACTCACTGCCAAGTCTAAGGTTGACCTGGCTCGCCTTCCTCCATGCTATGATGCTCTGAAGCCGCATGTCCAACGTGTGAACCATCGCGTCGCCCTGTACAAGCGAGCTGATGAATCAATTTTAGAAAAACCAAACCCCTATGATGAGGAGCAGGGATGGATGAGGACTGATGGAGTGTTGAGACCGGTGTGGTGCTGTGGTCCTGTCCTGCCAACCTCCCTGGTTGATCTCCTGGACACGACAGAGCGTGAACAGGAAGACGAGGAGGAAGAGGAAGAGGAATTTGACTCTGATGATAGCATTGAAAACGATGATTGAGTATTAATCAGATAGTGGAGAGCCAAACCTTGACTGCTTATCTGGAATGGGAAAGAGTAGTCACATCAATACTTATATTATGATGTTTGACCCTTGCTGTAGGCTAGTACAAAACAAATAAATATTGGTTAAATACACAACATCTGTCTCGACACCTTATTTGTTCACTTACTGTACTGCAATATTGGCGTCTCTTAATTTGCATAGCATGCCACAGATACATGTGATCACTTTGGGAATAGTTTTATTGTGATCTTGACCATCAAACATGGGTCTAGACACATTATTTGTTCATTTATCTGCAATATTGGCTGAGATAGAGTGAAAAGTGTGAAAATTCCGTTTTTGGTAATGGTGACACTAATTTGCATAAAAAATACATGTGGGACATCCAGACAACATTTTAACATAGCTCATCATTTTCTACATACTTTTTCCACTTAGGAAACACTGATTATAAGTATATTTCTGTGTCGGTGCAAAATACACCGTTCTTGGTACAAGACTAAAATGCTATTTTCTTGTAATGGCGGCACTAATTAGCATAATAGCATGCCACAGACACATGTGATCACTTTAAGAATAGTTTTATTGTGTTCCTTGACCCTCAAAACATGGATCTGGATACCTTATTTGTTCAGTTATCTGCAATAATGGCTGAGATATAGTGAAAGGTGTAAAAAGAGTGAAACTCGATTTTTAGGGTAAATAAACACTAATTTGGGAAAAAAATATACGTGGGACAATTTGCCAACTTTTTAACATAGCTAATCGTTTTCTACACAATTTTTCCAATCTAGAAAAGCTGATTAGAAGTATATTTCAGGGGGGTGCATGATACCCCCTTCTACCCACCCAACTATTTGCTATCATTGTGGCATTTGCCATTTTGAACAGCGGCAACACAACTCCTGCTTCAGTGGCATAGGCATTTTATATATTTTTTATCCTGTATACAGGCCATCAGGTATTTTCAATACATACATGATATTGTACCCTAACCTACTTGGTTAGGGTCTTGAAAAGAACATTGGAATTGTGGTGCAAACAGCAGTGTCTCATGTCAAACAAGAATTAAACCCTAACCATCCACTCAGAGTTCTCCGTCAGGTTTTGTAAAGGTGAAACAACATTGCACTTCTTCTTCATGATAGGTTTATTGGTGACGCTCATACTTGGTCTGGATCATGGTAAGTCATTATTTTTGTATTACTCAACTGAATACTGGTTTGAATATGTCTTCACCTCAGCAGCGAGCCCCAAGGAATGAAGAAGAAATAACATGACAACTCCAGGATACTTTCGGATCTTTTGTAATCTACTACCGTTTCCTTAGAATTATTTTAGCACGAGTCCAACATTTACTTTTGGAAATGATAAGGTCTGGGTTTCCCTTATGGATTCCCTGCATCTAAATTAGTCAACAAGTTGTGTTGGTGGTGTGTTTCTCCAGGAAGTTGTGATCCAAGAAGCCCAGTTTGAATTACTGATCCATACATTTGAAGGCTTATCAGATCCAACCCATAATACTCAGAGACAGGAACTTACAAGAAACACGTTGAACCAGGGTTTTCCTATCTTTTTTGTTGCGTTCCTTCGCTTTGGGCACCGCCACTGTGTTGCAAGATTGGCCATGTTTTTAAAAAACGATGGGTTTTTCTTGGTTTTGTTCAACACATGGCTTGTGAGTCTTACCAACAATCATTTGGTTTTATCTATAGACATAATCATAGAATGCATAGAATTGCTGTTGAATAACGACAGATGAATATGAACAATGGTGGAATTCAAAATGTTATAGGTTTCTGTCTAACTAACTTATTATAACCTGATTAGTAAAACAACCCCTAGTGTATTTGTAAATGATATTCTTATGTGTGTGTGTGTGTGTGTGTGTGTGTGTGTGTGTGTGTGTGTGTGTGTGTGTGTGTGTGTGTGTGTGTGTGAGTGTGTGTATGTGTGTGTGTGTGTGTGTGTGTGTGTGTGTGTGTGTTTTGTGGTGTGTGTTTGTGTGTGTGTGTGTGTGTGTTGTGGGTGTGTGTGTGTGAGTGTGTGTGTGTGTGTGTGTGTGTGTGAGTGTGTGTGTGGTGTGTGTGTGTGTGTGTGTGTTGTGTGTGTGGTGTGTGTGTGTGTGTGATAGAAGAAACAGAAATGGTCTCTGGTTAGTTGGTCGGTGATAATTAGAGGTAACTTGACTGGAGCTTCATTTCATTTCTGTGTTTGTTGACAGAATTACAGACAGACCGACATGGTATGATGTAATCTTGTTTTGTTTGGGGTAAAGGGGTGGGGGGGGCAGACTGTCACCCTCGGGGCAGGAAGGGGTTGACTGATCGTCCAATCACTGCAAGTGTTGTTGTCTATGCAACATTACTTCAGCCAATTGAGCGTCACTTTGCATTAATATGGTCATCCGTCTGCCTGGTAACAAACAACCCAGATGAACAAAGCAGGAACAGCAATCTGGTCAAAGTCCTCCAAGGACATTGAGTCAAATAAACACACAGGAAGTCATTACAAAGTAAACATCAAAAAGTATGGGTGTAATGTAATTTTCATAGAACTGTAAAAATAATAAGTGTTGTAGTTCCTACATAAACTGCAGCCTGCCAGTTATTATGGCAAAATGAACCCCGACCGCGTGAGCACGACACCAATTAAAAGCAGGAGAGTCTTGAATTAATGATTATGATGAAACTGGATCATAGTTTAGGGAGAAATGTTGTCTGTTTTATTTATTTATTTGTCCTCAGGTGGCTCTGTTTCAACTATTTGATTTGCAGAACTTACTGATAAGAAGAAAGCTTTACTTGTCGCCCAAGTTCAAGGTTCAAGGTTCTTTATTTGTCATACGAACATAGCTACAGAGTAGTTATGTCGATGAAAATCTTAGGTCACAGGCTTCTCCAACAGTGCAACACAATAATACAGATACACAGAAAAATATAGTGCAAGTAAATATTAAAAAGGAAATACAAAAAGGAAAATAGTTAAAAAAAAGTGAAATAGTGAAATAAGAGTCTATATGCAAGCTATTGGAATGATATATTAGATAAATAGATACATAATTACTAAGTAGCAGATGAATGTTATGGATGTTGTTACAGCAGTTCAGGTGTTTAACAGTCTTATTGCCTGTGGGATGAAACTGTCTCTGAATCTGGTGGTTTTAGTCCGGATGCTGCGGTACCGCCTGCCAGACGGCAGCAGACAGAACAGTTTGTGGCTGGGGTGGTGGGGGTCTTTTATAATCCTGAGGGCTTTCTTCCTGAGCCGCTGGGAGTAAAGGTCCTCCATGGATGGCAGCTCCGTCCTGGTGATGTGCTGTGCAGTTTTCACCACCCTCTGTAAAGCCTTACGATTGAGGTCGGTGCAGCTGCCGTACCAGGCCGTGATGCAGCCAGTCAGGATGCTCTCTATGGTGCACCTGTAGAAGGTCAGGATCCTCTCTATGGTGCACCTGTAGAAGGTCAGGATCCTCTCTATGGTGCACCTGTAGAAGGTCAGGATGCTCTCTATGGTGCACCTGTAGAAGGTCAGGATGCTCTCTATGGTGCACCTGTAGAAGTTGCAGAGTATCCTAGAGTCCATGTTGAACCTCCTCAGCCTGCGGAGGAAGAAGAGCCGCTGTCGAGCTTTCTTGGTGATGGTGGTGGTGTGAAGAGTCCATGTCAGGTCCTCAGTGAAGAGTCCATGTCAGGTCCTCAGGGATGTGGACATGTCAGGTCCTCAGTGATGTGGACACCGAGGAACCTGAAGCTGCCGACTCTCTCCACCGTAGTCCCATTGATGGCGATGGGGGCGTGTCCCTCTCCCTGCTGCTTCCTGTAATCCACAATCAGCTCCTTGGTTTTGCTGACGTTGAGATGGAGGTTGTTATCCTGGCACCAAGATGTCAGGTTTTCGACCTCCTCTCTGTGCGCCGTCTCGTCGTCGTCGGTGATCTGGCCGATGACGGTCGTGTCGTCAGCAAACTTCTCGATGGTGTTGGAGCTGTGTGTGGCCACGCAGTCGTGAGTGAACAGGGAGTAGAGGAGAGGGCTGAGCACGCAGCCTTGAGGGGCTCCGGTGTTGAGGATCAGGGTGGAGGATGTGATGTTTCCCACCCGCACTGCCTGGGGTCTGCCCGTCAGGAGGTTCAGGATCCAGTCACAGAGGGCGCTGTTGAGCCCGAGGTCTCTGAGCTTGATGACCAGCTTGGAGGGCACAATGGTATTGAATGCTGAACTGTAATCAATGAACAGCATTCTCACATAAGTGTTCCTCTGGTCCAGGTGTGAGAGGGCAGTGTGGAGGGGGGGGCTATGGCGACGTCTGTGGACCTGTTTGCTCTGTAGGCAAACTGCAGGGGGTCCAGAGAGTCAGGGAGGGAGGAGGTGATGAAGGTTTTGACTAACCGCTCAAAGCACTTCATTATGATGGAGGTGAGTGCTAGTACTTGGCCCATAAGCCACTTGAGTTTCCATAAGCCCCGCCTCCAATCCACAGCGTCACTGCTCAGTCACATGAATGGAGAGAGAATAACTAATAACTGGATTCGGCTTTTAGCGCATTTTTCTACTTTTAGGACCTGAAGATTTAAAAAAGGGCTATTCACGTGTACTATGAAGTTGATTTACGTCAAAAAAATTTGCTGATTTAAAATAGTCTCTTTCCCAATGTAAGTCAATGAGAAAAAGTATTTTTGGACCAGAATGATGTCATGAACTGGAATGAAAGTGAAGACCTACTGTTTGGCTACTTTAAAAAAAAAAATTCGCCCTGCGTTTTTCCTGGGAGTTTTGCCAGGACATGGGACCTTTCGCAGTGGAGTGTTTACACTGCTAGAACAGTAGAGGTGGCCTGCAAAGAGCCCAATGGATAATACAGGACATGATTAAAAGGTGAAACCTATGAGATGTACACTGAACATACATCTATTCTATACATTGCATCAAACGCTTGAAATGTGATAACTGGCTGTGTATGGCCTGAACCCCAACCCCTTCTCTCTGCCTAAT